CTTCCCCCCCTTGGGCACGCCACTGCTAACTACTAAGAAACTAATAATATATTATATTAATATAGTTCAATTTGGAAGTGGCCAACTGGTGTCATATTAAAATATAATTGAAGTTAACTTCTTTACTTTTTTAATAAATCTTTGATAAACTAAATTAAGTACCTACTAAATATATATTATCTTAAAAAAAAAATACAATTTTAAATTTATTTTGTCTTTTTATTTTGAAGGCAATTTATGTTGATGTCAAAAAACATACATAATTAAACAAAATAGTTAAAAATAATTAGTACATTAAAGGGGTTTATTTTCATAACTCCAGGTATATTTTTATGTGACACATGCATGGGGCATTGTATATAATATTATGTAGTACTGTAGTAGAGTAAATTTAATATAATTTTTGTGATTAATACTTGGATATTGTTATATTATGTATATTGTATATCATACAAATATTTGGAAATGGATGTGAGAAATAAACACATAAAATGAAGGTAAATATATATACAATAATATAAATGGTCAAGGATGATTTTTTAAGTGTGCTCACTCCCATTTTTTCTTTTAATAGTATTCATTCAAATTCTGATATTTAGAAGTGGGAGTTCCTATTTGAAAAACAGAAATTTGTAATATCACAGTATCATTCTTCGGCAGTACATAAAATCTCAAGTACCTATTCAAAAAAATAGTCATCAAGTGTACTTAAAAATTCTAAAAATTAGAATTTGAATATATGCATAATTTAAGCATAAACATAGGATGACCATGTTTAGAAAATCATCCTGTACCTATATAATAAAGTATATTAATACTCAAAAAGTAATAATGTAATAAATTAATAATTGTTATAATAGATTACAACAGTTGCTTGAAACCTCTAATTCAGAAACTAAAAATTTAAAAATTGAACAAACAAACTTAAAAAATATCATTTCCATGCAACAAAGAGACATTATTTCGGCAAAAGGATGAATCAGAAATAAATTTTGAACATAAATTTAAAGAAAAACTTTCTCACTTATTTACTGAAACACAGATAAGTCAACTTTTGAATAAGAAAAAAAAAGTGGCAAAGTGGAATGCTGAAGATATATCTTCAGCAATATCGCTTAGAAGTGTGTCACCTAATTTACGGGAAAAAAATCAATATCCTTTACCAGGTGCTGAATAAATAGATTAAGATAAAAGTAGTATATTTTATTAAATTATTTATAAATATACCTAGGTCTTTCAACCTTGAGACGGTGGGCAGCTACTTTTTCTGTCGATAGAGGCTTATTGTCAAATGTTTTTACATTGCTAAAGTCTAAAGGTTAGATTATAATTATGATATGTAATTTGTTTTATAATAATACTTAATTAATGATATAAATATCAGGTGAATCAATGAATCGAAATGAAAAAATAACAGTTTTGTCATTCGATGAGACCTACGTTTCTCATAAAATTTGTTATGATAAGCAAACACAACAAATTATTGGGCCTCACAAGAGTGTGCAAATAGTTATGGCAAGGGGTTTGTACTTCATTATTTTACACATCAACAATGTATTATGTAACACAATTGTATTAATTTTTTTTAAGGGCTTTTAAGTCAGTGGAAACAACCACTCTTCTATGATTTTGACACACCAATGACCAAGGATATTTTATTTAATATAATATCAGAAATGCATAGAGTTGGATTTAAGGTGGCCGCTATTGTTAGTGACATGGGACCCACTAACATAGGGCTATGGAAAACCTTAAAGATAAGTCCATCTTCTTCTGGTTTTAATAATCCTGTAACAAATAAAAAGATTTATGTTTTTGCTGATGTTCCCCATTTAATCAAGCTAGCTAGGAATCACTTTATAGATAAAGGATTTGTTCTCCCTGAAGATGTTTATATAGGTAAACAAATCATTGAACAATATTTAAAAGTCTCTAAACCATCAGATTTTAAGCTTGCGTACAAACTATCTGAACAACATCTAAATGTGACTGGAAGTTTAAGACAAAATGTGAAGTTGGCTGCCCAATTATTTTCTAATGGTGTAGCAAAAGCTCTCAAATATTGTGGTGAAAATAAAATAATAGAAAATAACAATTGGGAAAAGGTTTGTAAATTAAAACATAACTTTTTCATTTTTATCATATTAATTTATTTTATTTTATTAATCATTAATGTATACATACTAATAGACTTCAGAAGTAGTTCAGCTGTTTAATGATTGGTTCGATCTCATGAACACACAACTTCCTATAGACAGATTTACAAAAAGTTACGGGTTAGATTTAGAAAATCAAAATACATTATTAGATAAAATGGATAACTTTATTACAAATATGAAAGTTCATGGGAGTAATCGCAGACTACCTTTTCAAACTGGTATATTTCTTAAGTTTATATGCACATTGCATATAACACAACAATTCAACTTCATATTCATTTCTAGGCATATATAAATGCTTCGATAAAAAGTATGTTAATAGATTTGAAAAAAGATTATGAAAATATCACATATATTATGACAAGGAAAGTCAATTCGGATGTAGTTGAGAATTCATTTAGTTACCTGAAAGGAATGGTTGGATCAAATTCCCATATTTCACCTCTAGAATTCAAATATTGGTTTAAAAATTAAATTATTTTAATTCAGAATAGATAGATACTTACCAATATTTTATTTTCAGTTTGCGCTGGTATTTACTAGGTAAACATTCAAATATGATATTCACAGAGCATCACAACACCGAAGATACAACTGAGAGTTGTTTAATTGAATGTTTATCTGGATCTACATTTAAAAAAGCAAACTTCTTAAAAAACATTAGTACCATTAATAATGATATAGTGGATGAACAGCTGGCTAATTTAGAGACGGAATTTGGAGGTACAACAAATATTGAAGTATCAGAAAAAAGTATAGAACTATTGAAAAATTTTGAACAAGAAGTAATACATTATACTCATGCATATATTATATTATTATAGGTACTTATGTATTATCAATGAAGTTTGAGTTTAAATTATTTACAGGTATTAAAAAATAGTTTGAACACTCAACTTACAACAATAGAACGTGATTGTATAGAATATGTTACTGGGTCAGTAGCGAGAAAGTTTATTTTTAAATATCCTTACTTAGGCAATACTGATAACTCAGACAGAACCACAAAGAATTGGATAGATTGTGTATCTTTAGGCAATTTAATTTATCCTTCAGATGATTTGTTGAAGACTGCAAGACTCCTTGAAAACATTTTTAATGATTATCATGGTGAAAATAATTTAAATAAACTTCCAGGTACTTACTTTATAATAATTCTAAATAATTGGATCAATCACATTTTTTAAATGTTTATTTAGGTGTAATAACCAAAGTGGCTAATGATGTTCTTGAGCAATTAAACATTCTCAAAATATCCATTCCGAATGAGGTAGTCCAATGTTTAGTTCGCACAAGAACTTTTATAAGACTAAATAATTTAAACAAAATAATTCGTGATAAAGTATTACAAACCAAAAGAAATAAACTAAGAAAATGTATATCATAATAACAATTTGTTTCTACAATAATTATTATTATATTTATTTTTTTAAAATACATTGATTTTATTTCTATTTTATAAAATCTAAGTTGATTAAAGTGAATTGTAATTTTGTGATTTAATTCCATTGGTATCAATATTTCATAAAAAGTGTAATAGTAGTAGTAATATCATAGAACCATATAGTAATAGTAATATAAGTGTCGCCATGGCTAAATATTAAAAAACTTACCCATGAGTATTGAGTAATGAGTGTCACTTTTAAGATACCTACAAAAATTTGTTCTCTCAACTTGTGTCTTGTGATGTTAGAAATTTAGAATATGTTACATGATGTTTTCACTTTAGATTGTGAGTCACATGGCTAAATAGTTATGTCACAACCACGATTTAAGACCATCTTAAATCGTGATCGTGGTCACAACTCACAAGACAAATTAAAAAATACGCGGGTATTGATAAGAATTCCTTCCGGCTGACGTCATCGACATGCGCATCACGGAACTAAGATCATACCTAGTTATTTAGCCATGATAATACTATTTTATTATTGTTATAATTATTTTACCAATATTAGTTTTAATATAGTTTTTAATATTATACTTTATAAAACTAATCATAAAAAAGGTGGGCAAGTGATAACAGCTCAAAACGAGTCAAAATATTTTTTAAATTTTATGCTGTATAGAACACAAGAATATAAACATTATAAACATATGTTATCTTATTATCAACGTTTGATCAAATGACGCTTGATAAATAAAGTATTATATTATTCAAACACTAATATAAACTAAAAAAAAATTAATATTTAAAAATTAACTAAAAACTAATACTAATTCAAAGTTGTTTATAAGCTTACCATGTAATATATGGTTACATACATTTGAGGCCTAACCAATTATTATATACTTCTTAGACAACATTTAGCTTAGCGACCTTTTCTGAACTCTAAATACTTCATATTCAATAAATATTACTGCCATAAAAAAAACAAATCCGTCTATTTAATATAGTCTTTATTAAATAAATCATAAAGAAAACAAATACTTTTTATTTAACAAAAGTGTTTACAAAATAAATCATAAAAAAAAAACAAATCTGTCTTATTAAATTTACTCTTTATAAAATTGATCATTACAAGATTGTGTAATTTGAATTTTCTGAGCTTTCATCTGATGTAAACAAAGATCGAAGATAAATAAGTACCAACTGAAGAATGAATGTTCACTGGGGGAGGACGAATTATTGAGTCTATAAGTTCAATAGATCTACGCTCATAAGTTCTCAGTTGTGCATCTGACATTGTTAGGAGATCTAGTATAAGACTATTTAAAAATTGTTTTACTGAATCTGTTCTGGCATCAGAAGTACTAGTGACCAATGTGGCTTTCTCGGTTTCAAAATATTCAGCAAAAGCTTTGTCAGCATCAGAACTCGAGTTATAGTTTGTATTTTTCTTAACTTTTTACCTGCAGTATATTTGGACTTAAAAAATTTCGATTCTGGAGTGTTAACGAGTTTAGTTTCAGATTGTCTCGTAAATAGTGGTGTGGTGCTATTCGAAGTAGAGGGATTAAGGGGAAGTGGTAGTCTAGTGATGAGACTGGATTGCTGCCCTGTTGGTTTGGTTCAGGATATTCCGATATGTTAGAGTTTTCACACACATCGGCAGTCACAAAATCTTCATTAGGAATCGGTGACAAATTTCCACTAGGTATTGCACAGGTTTTGACAAATGGTATCGTGAACTGCATTGTCTCGTTCAAATAATACGGCTTTTTGGCTTTGGATTCACTTTTAGAGTCTTCCATTCTTCTCACAAGCGTAGTCCATAGATTCCTCCATTTTCTTTGCATTCATTCACTAAAACATGCATATTAAGCATGTATATAAAAGTGGTAGATAATTTTTTTTTGTTTTGAAAAAAAATAAAAAACAATGATACATTTACATTAATATTTTACAGATATTTGGATTTGGCAACAGGGAGTACATTTGTCTCGCTAGGGTTGTACTTTTGCCGAGGAGAGACAATAGTTGGGCAGATCGTGGAAGAGACGACTCAGATAATATGGGATGTGATGAATGGATATTGGATGTCGAAACCGAATAAGGATCAATGGAAAAAAATATTGCAGAACGTTATGAATTATTGTGAAATCTCCCTAGTTGTATAGGCAGTATAGATAAATTACTGAATACAGGTTCCAGTAATTTAAATTATAAAGCCTACCATTCTATAGTATTATTGGGGTGTTGTGATGCTGATAGCCTTTTTACAATGGTAGAAACCGAATATGCCGGTAGGAACAGTGACAGTGGAATATTTCGAGCTTCAGCAATGAAATATCATATTATAACTCACTCACAACTTGATATTCTGCCACCTTCAAAGCTACTTTATGATACTAACAACTGTAAATTTCCCTATTATTTTGTGGCAGACGAGGCGTTTCCACTGTCAAAATGTTCAATGAGACCCCAGACGGACTCTAGACAACATTAGAAGAGTATTTAACAACCGTTTGAACAGTGGAAGAAAAACGATTGAGTGCACATTTGGAATGATGACGGAAAAATTTCAAGCGCTGAGTACCGCCATTCGTTGCCGTGATGTAGATAAAGTCAATGATATCGTTAAGGCATGTTGTATACTCCACAATTGTATTCGCAAAAGAGAAGGTACTCGATATACAATGCGACATTTTGAAGAAAGTGTTAGTCTGCGTAATAACACCACCAACTTCACAACAGATGATTGGACATCAAATGATTACCTATGTAAATGATCTAACATCAGGTTATGACTTGAGAGATTATTTATCACGATAATTTATTACTCCTCGAGCATCACTTCCGTGGCAGTGGAATAATTGTATATAGTCTGTAATATTTTGGGTTATTTAATAAAATATTCTTTAATGGTATTCCCTCTGTATTGTTATTATTAAAATAGTATTCAAATATTTTAATTATATTGGCGTTACGATATTTTGTATTATAATGTTATATTTAAAAACGTGTGTACATTATAAAGTGCCATTGGTTGGCAAATAAATAAACAATTTTATGTTTAATAATAGTTAAATTAAAACTTAATAATACTCGGAACGTGTATTGCGTGATAGCGTGTTTTTAATTATTATTAGGTATTTAGTTTCAAATTAAAAATAAAAATTATTATTATTTTATTAGTTCATTTGCTTACCAGATAAATTAACTGCCATTGACACATTATGCCAACTCTTGTCTTGACAATCTCTTCTAGAATACTCCGGGTATGGTGAAATTATAAAGTTCAGGATTTTTTTCGATTTCACCAACAAATTGAACGTTGAATGCTTCCATCGTTATTATAAAGTATATAATATACATATGTGTATCGTAAAAATATATTATATAATATAAAATATAAATATTATGATATTACATATTATATAGTAATAATATATTATGCGATCCGTGAGACGCGACTGCCAAGCGACCAGCACTGCCGGTCGCACGTGTTGTCAGTCGCTCGCATCGAGTAGTTTTCAAATTCCGTCATTAGTGGATCCCCATTAACTTTGCTAGGAAATCGCGGGATAGCGAAATCGTGTAGTGTGTCAATCGCCTCGTGTGCTGAGGGCCTTACTAATGCACACTCTTTAGGAGCAAATAACATGTACCAATTGTGATTTTGAAAAAATATCTGAAGGGAAAACAATAATTGCAAATTTACCAACTGATACAATAGACTTTCTACAGAATGTTTAAAAAACCAGATTTAAGTGTGATTCATCTGAAGCAAAAAATGATTTTACTTTTTTAAATCACGTTTATAGAAATATGTACACCTATCTGAACGTCAACGAAATGTTCAACACTTTGCCCTTCCATTGATATTCATAACTCTTACACAAATATCAGGAGCGGACCCAGGGGGGGGGGGTTGGGAGGTCAGCTGACCCACAGTTGTTTTCCCAGTTAAATGTGGCCCCTCGAAATGGCAAACTATATAAACATTTTTTTATTTGAAAAAATTATGTACAGTGGTGAATTTAGAGGAGAGGCACGTGCCCCTTGTCAATTTTCTGTCTACAAGTTGTTATGTAACATTTGTAACTACGAGTATCATATAAATGAAACATTCAGTTGATAAGGATAATACTACCAACTATTAATTATTACTTATTATAATCATTATTGATAGTATGTATATGTATTATCATTGATTATAAATACTAGTAAAATACTATTAAAATTAAAATTATACAATTTATATGTGCCCCCCCTTCAAAATATCGAAGATCTGCTATTATGATATAGGGGTATATCGTATATACAGCTGTGAAGACTGATGAGTATTGAAGTAAAATAACGCGTACGAAATCGTGTTTAAGCTTATCAACTTATAATGTACGTACCTAAAATTCGATAAACACAAGTATAAAAATATGTTGGATATAGATATTATATAAGATTTTATGAAGTTGACATAGATGAAATTGATATAGAAGTGGAATACCGTTCATTACATCTAGTTTACCAACAAATGGCAAAACTATTGAAACTGGAGTAACTGGACCTTTAAAATTAAATGATGTATTGAAAATTCATGATATCACGATACATGGTTTCTTCATATCCAAATTTATATACTTTGTATAACATTTTTTATATGCTACCAGTCAGCAGTGCAACTGCACAAAGAAGTTTTAGTGTTCTAATACTTCTCAAAACATGCCTTAGCTCAACTATGACTGAAGACCGGCTATCAAATTTGGCCATATTGAGCATAGAAAGCAACATAGCTCAAACCATTGATTTTGTTAACGTAATAAGTACATAATTCGCACTAATGAAAAAGCGCAGAAAATGATTGTAATGTTCTAGTTCTTTACTATTATTTTCATGTAGGTATTATTAAATATAAATTTTATTAATGTATTATTTTTGACTTTTCTATTGTATTAGAATTTAGAACCACCTATTCTATATCTCTTGTGAAAATGAAATCAGTCATAGTATAGGAACAAATGCACTTTACATGTCCCCCTCACAATTTTCAGTTTTGTTTTTAAACACTGGTTCAATTGATGGAAACTATTATTTAAGAAGTTGTATGGTGTATTGTGTATTGCGGGAAGCAAAACATACAAAACACTGCATCTGTGTTAGTGTAAGGCGTCAAAGTTGATTAAATTATACCAAAGATAAAAAAATGTGTTATTTTGTTGTAATTCAAAAACGAATAACTGTAAATATACGAAAATGTCGCTGAATGTTTATATTCTCAATTTATATACACCATACATTTTGACTTGTTTTGAGCTGATAACGACGTTCATATTCAGTTTCCAATATTTTTAATTTTGTTTTTCTATAAACGAATACAATATTTTATTTGTTTTGTAAAAAAAGAGTGAAAATTTAATGCAAGGCTCCCGGTATATTGTTACAATAGAAGTTGAAAATTATTAAAAGACTAAAAGTAGTTAGGGACAATTTTTTTTTTTAAGCATTGAAAGTTCAAAGTTTTACAACATTTAACAATTTAAAAATGTAACAATTATTTTGTAGTTAAAAATGTATACATTTTATAGCTAAGGATTGAAAATTTAAAACAAGGTTCCGCGTAAATAGGTAAATATATAAATTAGTTTATTCACAATAATATCAAATATACTTCGTAATATCATAGGCCAACTGACCGTTTTCGCTCAGTATCGTTTTTCTTATATAATGATATTATATCATTGAATTCAAATTTAACACCATCCATTACACTTTTTACTAGTGATGCACAATGATGTCGTATTTCGATATCAGACCAATTTTACCGATATCGATATGACAAAAATAATATTCGATATCGAAATACGACATCGCAGGTAAATATCCAACATTTTATCGATATCGAAAATTGATATCAATTCGTTGCAATTTGAAATTTCTATTTTCTATTTATATAAATTTTGACAGTAAATGTCTAAGAACGAATAAACACCAACGATAAGCAATACGATAAAGCTCTTACAATAGACGTAGATAGCTGTGACTGTTGGATTTTTACAATTAGTCTCTTTTTTCCGTCGTCTACGTTGAGTTAAATAATTAATAAGTTAAATTAATAATAATTTATTTATCAATAGTTATAATTAATAAGTTAAATAATTAAATAAAAATTATGAGTTTTATTAAGATAGTACCATTACCTGGAGGTCGTAGTGACATATGGAAACATTTTGGCTTTCAAATAGATAATAGGTAATGGTACAATATTAAATAAAAAACAAGTTCACTGTCGCGAGTGCAAGTCTATTATTGCGTACAGTGGAAATACTAGTAATTTAAAATTACATTTACTACAATACAAAAAAAAACCTTTAATATATAAAAATAAATTATATCGATATCGTTTGTTTTTCGATATCGCGATATGATATCGATATCAGTGAACCGATATCGATAACGGAAAATATATCGAAGTAGAGAATTCCCTAAACATGGCTGAGTTGTTTTATGTCTTAACACATGATAGTATTGTCATGTATTAAATTTGGATGTATGGGAACAAATACACTTTACCGTTTTTCGACGCTGATTTCGAAACTATTTGGTTTTTTTGTGAAAAAATTATTTTGGAAGTTATAGTCATCCAAAGTTTGCGATTTTACGTTTATACGCATGCGCACAACGTTACTCGACTGCCACGATGTAACAAATTTTTTTTTTACATTTTTTAACGAAATCTGTTGTTGTTGCCACTCCCTCGAAAAACGAAAATATCCCCCGATTTGCTGTGTAAAACCACCTTGGGTAGGCCACGGTTTTCCTCAAAAATTCCCGGGAACTTACCGTTCAAAAGTTGTTTAAATTCTAAGTTGCAGTGATTACGCGTGTATCGGCACTCGTCGCTGCTCTCCGCAGATCGAAAATATCCCCTGACTTGCTATGCAACACCACCTTACCCTTTCAGTCCCGACTTTTTGTTTCGAAAAAAAAAAATTTTTTTTTATGGTATTTTTTTATTTACCGTTTAATATAGTGATCCTAAAAATTTCAAAATTTTAACACACTTACTTTCGAAGAATTCGTAATGTACATTGGGACTCGACGGCACAAAAATAAGACTGTAAACCGAACGCTACATATTAATGCTTTTTTTACGTACCTACTGATAAAATAATTTAGTTTTCTTCGAAACGGTTGTGGCTTATTGTGTATAAACATATCTAATTTAATTTATTTTATATCATTTCTTGTTAAATTTAACGAGTGTAGAATCAACAAAATAATATTCTAAAAACAAATATTCGTATTCTATTATTATAACGTCTCGTCGTTACGCTGCACATGATTATCAAAGTTTATAAATAAATTAATAATAACCATTTATAAGAATACACATAAGTATAAATTGTATTTACAGTAACGCTGTACAATTATTTTTTCGTAATATAACTTTTATTACTGATAAAAAATAAAATATAAATAGGAAATAAAATCAAAAAAAAAAATCATTGTACTTGTATGAAATTAGTTGTTAAAAATATAATAATATTATAAATTATAAAAATCTAAACATGAATTGCCCGAAAACAATTTGATTTTGTCGTCAGACATAAATGGACATTGCATTTTTCGCAATATACATGTGTTCTTCCTTTACAGCCTGCATTTTTGCATCTGGTCGCTTCTTTTCGAGTGTCTAAATCCGGCAAGTGACTCACTTTATCAAGTTGAATGGATGTCGACGGTCTTGAGTCTACATGTTTTAGTTTTTGATTTTCCGAGTATAATTTTTGTTTTACTGTAGGTGATGGTGTACTTGGTGGTCGTCCTTTTTTCTTTGTAGGGGGAGTAACTGTTTTGCCCATATAAATTAATTCTTCTGCCAATCTCATTCTAAAACTTAATAAGTCCATAATTTCTTTTTTAGGGACTTTTAATTGTTTGGTATCTTCAATATACTCCAACCAACTATTACTTACAGCCATGTCAAATGCATGAGAGACCATACGTAGTGTCCATTTTTTTGACCTAATGAAGCCACTATAAAAACTAACAAGTTGGTCGTGTTTGTCGACCCCCCCCCCCCATCGTTTTGTTGTAATGTCGTACTATTTCTGGTCTTTCAATATATATAAATTCCTTTTTTTTTCTGTCCCATATTCTAACAACGTCAACGTCTCCCGATGTTATAATATTTGAGCACAAATATATAGGTTTGTTGTCATACCACTTGACAAGACCTATATTTACATCCGGGACGTTAGAGCTGATCTCAATTGTAGTCCCTCTTCCCAAATTTTTCATAGTTTTATCGGATAAAAATGGAGGATTACAAAATGGATTTGAACGTATTGTACCAGTTGCATAATTTTTATTTTTTGCAGTGTATAAAATAAATTTATTGATGTAAAAAAATTATCCATAGTAAGATAGTGGCGGTTACTTTTTAGGTGTTCAGAAAGAAACAAAACTACTGATCCACCTAATCCAAATACTTTCCGTGATTCTTCCGATACTTCAGGCATATTACCTTGGTACATTAGTAAATTGTACACAATGCCGCTTTGACCACATAATAAGAAAAGTTTTATTCCCCAGGGATTTGGTTTTCCTCTGATGTACTGTTTTACAGAAAGATGGCCTTTAAATGGAACGATTTGTTCGTCTACTGATAAATATTTCTCTACAGGCAGTTCTAAACATGTTTTTTTAATTCAGTCAAAGAGTGGTCGAACTTTTATAAATTTGTCATTAGTATTTTTCGGAATATCAATATTATTAACCACATGAAAATGCGATCTTAGACTAAAAAAACGATTTCTATTCATCGTATCGGCAATCATTTTTATTCGCGTATTATCCTCCCAATACATGCGAATACGCGGGAACTTCAAAGCACCCATCACTAAATGCATAGCAATGAATCCCTTCATTTCTTGGATATTTGTAGACTTAAAACTATTAGTATTTTTTTAAACCGCGTACAAATTTGTAAAAATGACATGTTTTCAAAATCAGAATCATCAAAATATTTTGAAAAATAATATATTGGATTTTGTATTTCATGTTACAGTGTTTCGTTTCGTTTAAACTTACCTTAGGAGGTCTAAAAGGTTTTTGTAGCCACTTCATATTTTTCTTTTCAACTGTAAACCATCCGGGGACATCAACTTCCGGAATATCATTTATATTTTCAAATTCAATAAAGTCGGGCAATTCAAAGTTTTCATTTTCATCAAAATTAGCTAGTAGCTCGTCAATCTCTTCATCACTATCACTTTCAAAATCACTTAGTTCGGAAATATTTCCATCTAATAATTCAACAAGTTCGAAATGAGTAAGTTTACTCATTTTAAAAAATAATGTTAAAATAAAAAAGGTAAAATTACGTAGCACGATAAACTAAAGATCGATAATTAAAACTCCGATACAACGCCGAATATCAAACATCGGGTCAACGTTCGTCGTACCTCGTACGCACGATTTAAGATAGACTGGTTGCGCGTCGAACGAAAAAAAGTGGAATGAGAAAGCGCTTACAAAAACTTACTGGCACATAACGCGATCTAGCGGTAATATTCATAATCTATAGTATATTATTGTTTTAATAATAATTCCTTTCTGAACGGAATAAGCTCCACGGTTTTTTTATTTCACAAAATCGCTTTTTAATTTTTAATTATCAAATAAACCTTGATTAGTTGATTATTATTTAGATTAAACAGTCCTAATGACTAGTTGAATGTCGAATGACATTAATTTAAACAGTATTAAATGATTGAGTTATAGATTTAATATTTAACACAGTGTATATATTATATTTAAATTTAAATTTTTAAAATGTCTAGTCATAACTATTGTTGTATTCGTTTTTTTTATTAGAAATAAACAATCTTTACCTACAAGTAATATACAATAAGCTTATGTGCTGAGAGAAGACAGGACGTGGACAATTGAATAAGGAACCGCCCACTGGCAGTACAGTGGTGCATTGGAGAGTCGTCGAAGAGCTAGGTTTTGGAATACTTGTATTTTATTGGTATTGGATTTTTTTGCTGAACCCCAGAGCTGTATGCCATAAGTCCAAATAGGTTTCAGGAGGGTTTTGTAAATTAGAAGTTTAACTTTTAGATTGGTATTATTATTTCTTGATATTAGAGGATTAATTAATTAAATATATTTTTAAGATTTCAGTATTTCACAAGTATTATTATTATTATAAATTCTTAATCACTTACTTATCCAACTAATTTAAATTGCATATGTCATGTTTATTCTTTTTGTGTTAGTTGTAATTTACTATTTAAGTATCTAATTAAATTAATATAATATATAATGAATTTATTTGGTTGATTTATTTTAAAAAAGATTTCCTATAAAAATGTGTTGTAAATATGTACCTAGTTAGTATGTAATAAAATTAAACAACGTTAATATTGTAGTTCGTAGAATAGCAAATGGTTGACAATGTGCAAAGACCTAAAGTGGAAGAGACACTCAGTGAATAATATTGAGGTTTGAGATACCTAGAGAGATTAAAAATAAGTTAACAATAGTCATAATTAAAATCATTGCAAAATAAAATTACTGTTTTAGCACGATTTAGTAAAACTTATAGGCGTCAACGCTAGATGGCACTTACTGTCAGTCAGTTTATGTTAGTACATTGCATAGTCACTTGGTCAGTAAGCTTAACATACGTCGATGCGCAACCTGTCTATCTTAAACCGTGCTCGTACGTATGGCTATTTCCGTGTCGTCGGCCGTCCGCGTCTAGCGCGCTCGTGGTGTACCGGCGAGTCCCAATGTACATTGCAATGTGCATATATAATACCTACTATAAACTTCGTTATATTGTAAGTAAGATAACGAAAGTGGAGGCAAAACCTCAATAGGAATGTCAGTAATTGATAAAAAAAATTTAATTATTTCTACGTTATCCTAAACATTCGGACAAGATTAAAACATCTGGAAAAATAATCATTATGTGACTGTCGTAGATTTTTCCCTTTAATTAATTTTCCCTACTCGTCGCTGACAGTGCTGCCATACTAGCTATTTTATAGCTAGTTCTAGCATTTTTCAGGTGTCATCTAGCTTCAAAAATGTCATTATGCAGGTGGCATTAAATATAGCATTATTTATAATGTGTTTCAAGCGTTTCAACATATTTTTTTTTTCGTCTACCAAAAATCACTGATAACACATATGTGTATATGACATATCTATCTGCTATCACATTTCTGATTTTGGCAATTGATTGTTCATTATTTTGACACGGACTAAGATTTATATATATAGTATACGTCCGTGTTATTTAATACTTGAATAATACCATTTATTTAATAAAAATATGTAATTTAGCATTTTTATTATGCCATGGTAATTGGTAGCTAATTGGTCATGGCATTTTAGATGACCGTAGTATTAATCAATGATTGATAATTGATAATATCAAATATGCATATTATTATTTTTTGTTAATTGTTATTTGTTCTGATGTCTGTGATACTTTTAACCAATAATATAGTTAATAATTATATATGATTTTAATAACTATTTTAGTGATTTATGCTATAGCTGAATGCTATCAGTTACATAACAATCAATTACCTATTTTATTTGTTGTTTTTATTAACATAAGTTAAGTATGGGAAAAGTGCAATATTTACAGAAGTTCAGAGATGAATAGCTTACTGATAAAAAGTTCAAGGATAGGCTATTAAAGCTAGAAAGCGATTCAACTAAAGGTAGGTGTAGATTTTGTAAATGTGAAGTAAACGCTAAACACTTCGATCTAGTACAACCAGTTAGAACCAAAAAACATGCAATTGCTTCAAAAGATTTTTCAACATCAAGAGCAATACCAAGTTATGTAAGACCTCCATCTATAAGATCAGCTAATGCAGAAGGTACAATATGTTTGTATATTGCTGCACATTGCTCCATTTTAAGTTGTGATCACCTTGGGGTATTGTGTAAAACTCAATTTCAAGATTCTGCGGCAGGAAAAGACATTAAGTTGCACAGAACAAAATGCACATATATTATATGTAATACATTAAAACCTCATTTCGAACATTTATTGTTGAAAGAAATTGATAACCAACCCTACAGTTTACTCATCGATGAGTCAACTGACATCAGTGTTTTTTAAAATTTTTACGAATAAGTATTATGTATTTTGATCAAAGAGAGGGACAAATCGTTTCAACATATTTAGCTCTGGTTGAAATGGAGGCATGAGAATCATGCGATAGTAAAGCTATTGCAGAAGCAGTAACTTCAACTCTTATAAATAAAGAACTTGATGTGAAAAATATGGTTGGCTTAGGCAGTGACAATGGTCATGACTTCAGTCATGGTCGGGATCAATAACGGTATTTATCAAAAATTGTTAACTGAGGTACCAACATTGATACATATTCCTTGCGTATGTCATTCTTTGCAATTGGCCGTTTCTGCTGCTGCTGGTTCAACACTTCCCAGAAACATTGAGTTTCTTATAAAAGAAGCTTATAACTGGTTTGCCCATTCAACGTTACGCCAAGCTCAATATAGAAACTTATTTAAAGCAATTAATGATAATCATAACCCTTTTAAGATTGTGAAATCTTGTGATAATAGATGGTTATTGATTGAAACTGCTGTTGGGCGTATTTTGAAGCAATGGGTTGAGTTGAAAACTCTTTTTAGTATTGTGAGACAGAAGGAAAAATGTTATACTGCTGAAATTTTTTTTGGAATGTATAATGACAACAACAATTTAGCATATCTTACATTTTTGCACCCAATACTTTTAGAGATCCAGTTGGTTAACAAATCTTTTGAATCAAACAATGCTGATCCGTGCAAGTTATTAAGTGATTTAACATTGTTAGTACGTTCAGTGGCCAAACGTTTTGTAAATCCATACTGTAGAAAAGATCCACTAACAACCAACATGGATAGTTATTCCTCAAATGGTTTTTAGCAATGCATTTGAAGATCTCATAAAAAATACCAACAAAAAGGACAAAGAAGTTTTAAAAGATAGATGTCTTCAATTTTTAAAAGTCTTACTGAAACAGTTTCAGCAGACTTCCTAAAAATATACATATTTTGGAAAAAGTATCTCTGGTATCAGTAAGAAAGGCTCTACAAGTGGTTAAGGAACCTTTGACACCTTTGATGGAAATTTTTAAATACGATACACAGAATATGGACAAAGTGAATCATCAGTGGAACAACGTAACTAGTATAAAATGGATTGAACGTATAAATACCACCAAATTTTGGAAAGAAGTTGATGATTATGTCGATGCTTCTGGAAATAATCATTTTAATGAACTTTGTAAGCTAAGTAAGCGTATTATTGTGCTTCCGTTTTCAAATGCAGACGTAGAAAGGTTATTCAGCCAAATGAATATCGTTAAAAGCAAGTTGTGAAATCGTATGGGACCTAAATTATTAGATTCAATATTAACAATACGATCAGGACTTAAAAGAAATAAAGTGTGTTGTGCTCACTATAAGTTACCAGAAGAAGTTTTAAAAAATATTTTAAATTCTTCATACTATCCAACGACAACAACTATGAACGTTGACCAGCAATATAAGGACTTGGTAACTATAGACGATTTAGTAGACATTGATAATCCAATAATATTTTAACTTAAAGCAACTAATTTTACAATATCTAGTCAAAGAGACTTATTAATTGTTTAGTTGTATACTATCATTATCATGTATACATTTTAAACAATTTTGTATTATATTTATTTTGTTATACTTATAACTTTATTTTGTATTTTAATTTTAAATTAGTCAAAGAAGACTGCATTACTTTTTATTATTATTTTAGATTCTGAGCGGAGCGATGAATGTATTGGTTTTACAATGATGTATGTTTTTATATTTATTTTTTTTTGTGTCTGTGTACACGATAAGTAGTCGAAATAATGCTTCGATTTTCGACTTCAGTATCTTGTTCAATTGGAAAGTGAATATCGTTGGTGCATTGGGGAGGTCAAAATTTAAATTTCCCAGTAGTTTTCAAGAGCGCCGGGAAAAACAACATAAAAATTAAGGAAAAACGGGAATTTTTACGCAAAATCGGTTTTCCAAAAAATCGATTTTGGTTTTTGGTGTAACTTTAAAACAAATAACCGTAGATAGCCAAAAATAAAATCGTTTTAGCATTTTTCGCATCACCAATAGTTCATGAAGCAGGTCTAATAATATTACATTCTGTAGTTCTAGTCACAGGTAATGGGATTTTACCCCATTTGGTAGTTTTATTTTTTCCCGTATAGCAGTCATTATAATCATCACCATGACCACTGGAACTTGCTTCTTGTTTTGATTCGGAATCATGTTATCTTTCGACTACGAAAACAACATCGTCATCGGAATTATCTACATCCAGAAATTCATCATCAGTACACTCGTCCAAATAACCGAGAATTTCATCACGATTTGCCATTTTCTTTGTCAATACCTATTTTAAATTAAAAAGGTGGGTAAGTGGATGTCGCTCTGCTGTACAGTAGGTTACAAGTGGGTCACTGTATAATGGATGCTTTTAAATTTGAATTCAATGATACAATATCATTGTATAAGAAAAACGATTCTGAGCGAAGACGGTATGTCAGTCTAGGTTTAAGACAAATTATATACATATCTATGGTATTAAAAAAAAATTGACTTATAATAAATTCCAAATTAATCATATCACATTATCACAATATCCATTAGGTACTTATAACATGTTATACATCAACATCAATAACAAACCCTGATACTATCATAGATATATAATAGTACACTTTAGAAGTTTCAAGTAGGTACCCCGTACCCACGAATAATATTATATAATCACAACAAAATAACTAGGTTTTTTAATATGAAATTTCGTCCAAATTTGAACATAAAATGACTATAAAAATAAACTGTGATTGTATATTTTTTAGATTTTTCGGTAAGAGAATTAACTACTTACGTAGAATCTTGTTTTAAATTTTCAATCCTTAGCTATAAAAACTGAACATTTTATAATTTATTAATTACGATGATTAATAATTTTCGAGATTTTGAAAAATTCTGTCAAAATTCGATGTTAAAACGCTTATAAAAAAAAATTGTGCCTATGTATTTTTAATATTTTTCAACTGATATTGTAACAATATATCAGGAGCCTTGTATTAAATTTTTACACTTTTTGGCCCAACAGATAAAACTTTATTGATATTTATAGAAAAAAAAAACTAAAAAAATTGAAAACTGAAAATGTCCGTAAACGGCTCAAAAAGAGTCAAAATATTTTCAAAATTGTATGGTGTATAGGAAATGCTAATATAAACATTCAGTGAAATTTTCATGTATCTACAGTAATTCGTTTTTTAATTACAACAAAAAAAGGAAATTGCCACATGAGAAATCGAGTGAATATCCAATGTTGTAAAAATTTGAATTTCAAACGCTCATAAAAATTTAATTTGACTTTCCGGTAGAGATTTTTTTATTGATAAAGGTAGACAATCTTATGAGTAATCTTGTATTAGATTTTCAAATCTTAGATTTAAAAAGAAAAATTTTTACGAATTCTTAACTCAAAATAATTTGCTAATTTTCGTGATTTTTCCATATTTTGTCAATTTTTGAACTTTAAATGTTTATAAAAAAAAATTGTGACTAAGGATTTTTAATATTTTTCATCTGCCTTTGAAACAATATATTAGGAGCCTTCTATTAAATTTTCAAGCTTTCGCAACCAACAAATAAAATTTTATTGATATTTCTAGAAAAAAAACTAAAAAAAAACGAAAAATGAAAATGTCCCTAAACTGTTCAAAATAAATCAAAATATTTTGAAAATGTTATCGTGTATAGAAGATGCAAATATAAACAACCAGTGAAAATTTCATGTATCTACGGTCATTTGTTTTAAAGTTACACCAAAAACCAGAATCGATTTTTTGGAAAACCGATTTTGCGTAAAAATTCCCGTTTTTCCTTAATTTTTATGTTGTTTTTCCCGGCGCTCTTGAAAACTACTGGGAAATTTATACTTTTGACCTCCCCAATGCACCAACGATATTCACTTTCCAATCGAACAAGATACTGAAGTCGAAAATCGAAGCATTATTTCGACTACTTATCGTGTACACAGACACAAAAAAAATAAATATAAAAACACACATCATTGTAAAATCAATACATTCATCGTTTCACTCAGAATCTAATACATTTTTTTTCATCTATGGACCAGTTGAGGTATTTGAAAAATACTTGTGAAGTTGAATTGAAACAAGCATCAAATAAGCTGACAGGAAGTTTCAAACATACTCATTATAAGAAGATGAAATAGGTATTCTTTAATCTCAATTTTTTTTGTTAAATTAAATATATACCTAGTTTGGTACGGACAATACATTCGAAAAAACTAAATACTAGGATAATTCGACAGTTTATGGATGATTTTATTGATGATTATTCGGAGACCGGTGGTCTATGATTGATCGGCGGTGTTCGGCGATCGGCAGTGCTTATCGGCGATCACTACTAGCGCTCGGATGACGCGGCGGCATGCGCTGCCGTGACCGGTTTTCGTTGAGCGAGTGAGTCAACTTGAGGGGAATATGTGTGTGTGTATGACCGACGGGTCCTCGAGTATTATATTCTTTACATTATTATGTTCTGGTAGCCATTAAGGCGTATTATTTATTAGTTATATTCCGTTTAATTATTACAGCCAACCAGGCTCATTGTACACTTGTAATAACCATTAGATGCTGACAATAAACACAATATCATTACCTTACTGCATTATTATTCATTGGCGTGAGGGTGTACTTGGCGGTTCACTATACACCAAGCATCGAGCGCGCAAACACTAGTAGAAACCTAGTTTGATACTGATTTGCATACAAGTATTGATGGATATGAAATGTTTCTTTCCTTATAATTTTTAAATTAATCAGTTTTACAAATGTAATACCTAGTAGTTAGAAATGCATTCTTATTATAAATCAAATACATATAAAATATTACGAGTGTATAGATCTCCTAGTTCATGTAAAAACTAATTTTTTCTTGATATTGAATGTCTTGATATTTATTTGAATAATTTAATGTAAAAATTATACAACAAGTAACTATTTTTTTGGGTGGATATAAAATATTAACATATTGAATTATAGTGCCAATTATTTTGTGTGAACACTTGTAAGTTTCATTGATATATTAATAATTCTATATTCCTTAATCCTATTGAACCAATCGAAAAATAAAATCCCAAGAAAAAAAATGTTGAATTTATTAGTATTTTAGTAAATTAGGTTTCTGTGAGATTTTACAATTTACAAATTGTAGGAGATGAATACTTTCTATTTGTGTTATTATTTCTAGAATAATTGGAAGAGTCAGCAGGAGATGAATTATTATATTCCTCAATAAATATTATGCCATGATCTTGTGTCTTAAGGGGATGGTTAGAATGTTTACCTTGAAGATCTTCAAGTGGAGATGATGCACCTTCTACAGTATTGTTGCATCAGTTTCGATAATTCTCGTTTTTTTCGGATAATATGCCGTCAAGCTTTTGTTTGTATTTATCTGAGTTTTTGAATGTTGTGTTTTAAAACTATTTTACAAGATGATACACGCCTTTTTCAATTTGTCTCATTCAATTTTAATTTTTGTTTTGCTGCACATACAGACTACCTATATGATATTATTAAATATGAGGGTGTTTGAACCATGGGTTAATTGATATTTGACGATTTAAAGATTTCTTATGATGTCTATTATTAAGGAATCGTAAAACTAAAATTGTCCTATTTGTATAACAGCAAATAGCTTTGCAACATATTATGGTAGATTGTATACTATGTGTCTATGTTTGTATACTATTACTTTATTATATTAGTATAAGATAATACTACAATAATTTATTCTGTTAGTATTTTAGTCATACGCAGGTCTCGTAAGTTCATCCAAGTGCATGTTTTTTTGATACACAGGAAAACATGCTAACTGAGATACAAGTCCGTTTCATAACAATATGAAGATTGATAGTGCATGTTTTGGGTGTAAAGGTATAATAATATACTCGATTTTTTACAAGTGCATATTATTTCAAAAATATTTTTTAGACAAATATTTGAAAAGTTTCTTCCGATTTTTGATATCTTTTCCAATCGTACAATACCGCATGATAAATTAACACACTTTTTTAAATTTTTATCGATTAATTATTCAACTAATTAATAAAAATATCGAAAATCTGGCTTCTTACGTTTGTTAAATAAGTTCTCCTCTACAATTTTTATAATAGGTATTTTTACTGTAAACCACTTCAATCCGTCGCGCTTGATTTATTAGTTTACATTTATTAGTTAACACAAGATTCTAACACAAATAGCCAGATAGTCTGTATTTTTAACTTT